ACAACGGAAGCTTTAAAAATATTGAATAATACTAAAACTATTTTACCCACCAAGGATCATTTTGCAAGAGTTAGGAAGATTAAAACAACCATAGAAGGGAAAGCATAACAACCTTTGAAGACTTTGATCCTCATGGGAGGTTGGAAGTTGATGAAGTGTGGCATGAAACTCTAAAGCAAGAGTTCTCTACAAGTATCCACCAAGCAAGAGTAGAACCATCAAAACATGCTAGTATTCACTTGTAATTTGTTGTTCATAAGCCTTTGAAATATATACCAAATATATGTTCAAAGGTGAAGTAACAAAAGGGACATTCTTTTAACATAAAATGCAAGAGAATGGAGGAGAAGGATGCCTTAACTTCGAAATTTGGCAGCCTCTTGGGAGCACTTTTGCTCTCGGTTTTTGCTAGCCAAAGAAGAGGAAGAATGAAGGCTTTCAATCATTCCTTCTAACCTTCCATTCCCTCCCTTATATAGAGGCCAAAAAAGTAAAGGGAGACCATAAAGTAAAAGAGGGACAACTTTGTCCCAAGCATGGCAAAAGAAGACCATGCTTGGTCTCCTTACAATTTTCGAAAAAGGCATGTCCAAAAGAAGACAAAATTTGTCTCATGACTAGTTTTTATACACATACATGTTATCTTTATAAAAATCAAGTATTTTTATAAGGAATTCCCAACATATATATATATATATATATATATATATATATATATATATATATATATATATATATATATATATATATATATAACTAGTTATATATATCTTATTTTATATAAAACTATCTTTTATATAAATTGTAACTAGCTTATTAAGATATAAATATGAATATATAAATATCTTATTTTATATAAAACTATCTTTTATATAAATTGAACTAGTTTATTAAGATATAAATATAACTTATAAATAATTATACTTTATGATATATTTCATAAGTTGCTATTTCTCCAATAAATATTATTTCCATAAATAATAAATTCTCAATTAGTAAAATATTATTTCCATGAAATAATAAATTTTCAATTAAATACAAGTGTTGATATATTTATTAATAATCAAATTATACTAATAAATAATCAATTGACGGTAACTTGCTATATGGTGTGACCCTATAGGATCATATATTATTAGCAATATCATTCTATAATGACTCTTGGGCATACTAGATCTTTCAATCTCCCACTTGCACAAGACTTATCATAGATTGATATAGACAGTGGTGAACATCTAACAACATTTCACTACCCCCAATAACATATGACGAAGAATGTCATTCGTCAACATCCAATTCCCAAAAGCTCTAAGCTTCAATTGATGTATTAAGGTAAGTTTATCAATTATCCCTTTGTTACAGACATCCTGTTGAAACATGAGCCTTGGATCGCAATCAATCTCATTTGTAATTCAACTTTGGGTAACGCACGTTAGATGTCTAACTCTCAACGAATAAGAGGAACAAATCCCATCTTGACTACATAAGCCTCTTGTATAGTTCACACCATACCCGAATATGACTTTTATAACTGCCCGGTTAAGGAACAACATTTGGTTATATCAAAGCACAGTACTCCCTATACTCAAGTCCCACTATGTATCTCAGGTGTTAAGAATACAAAGATAGTACCTTTTAATCAAGTATCACTCATAACTGCGATCTATGAGATGATCTTGATGTGGGTCCGTTCAGTACTAGTTCTCTGACAAGTACCTATGAAACTTGGTTACAACCACTTGCCTACTTTCATCTAGTGAGAGTCAACCAATCAATTTCATATTAGTCTTACTTCATAATTGCTCCCACAATCATGACCGACTATGAACCTTTAGAATAATAGGATTATTCATGGATTAAACATGTTACTATAGAACACAACAAGTATTAATGTAATGATCATATCCCAGTATATCAAAACATTACTTAATAGTTGTTGTTACAATGTTCCAATATCCAAATACTAAATTCAAATCAAAATACCATTACTAGAATAATAAAAGTCTTATGGCTGAAGTGTGACCACTCATACTTAGCTTAAAAGGAAAGACTTTATCAATGGGTTCGACTAAATTTAATTTGTTTGAATTCTGCGAATACAATCATCTCCATATTTGACATTACTCTAAGTATAGTAAAATATTTTGGAGAATATAATTGCTGCTCTTATGTGACATAGAGTTTCTTAGCTTGATTAAGTACACTCTATTACTCACAAAAGATTTCTAGGTTATCCCTGAATGGAAGGATTCAACCTAGTTTTTCAATGATCTAGTTCATCCAATTATATTTGATTTCAACTTCTGAAAAGTAGTGTATTCTTATTTAGTAGATAGAGCTATTTTGTTTTTGCTTGGATCTCATTCCAACTAAACTTATTCTTCATTCCATAATGAAGTCATAATCCAATTATAATTCATAATTATCAATATTTATTTAGAAATCAAAATCATATGTAGCTCTTTACATTAAGATTTTATTCTAAACTAATTATATCATATACATTCTCTTAGCTCTTCTTAAGTACTCTTAGAATGTTCTCACAGTCATCTAGTGACTTAACCATTTATTCAATTTGTATCTCATGATATGACATGATGGATTCATTTTCCAAGAAAATAGAATATAAGTAATTTCATGCTAGGTCCATTTGAGACAAACTCAAAATGGGGTCATGTGACAATGTCAAGAATCTTCCAAAGGAATCTTGTATCTTGACCTCTTTCAAGATATTGTCATTTCATGCAAAAGAATTTTAAAACCTTTAACATTCATCTTTATCTATCTCTTATAGATTTTACATTCCAAGAATGTATCTTGTCATTCCTAAGTCTTTCATTTTAGAAATACTTTTCAAGTTAAGGTGAAAACCACCTTGCATAGTCGGAATATTATTTCAAATGATTAAGTATGTATCTTTCTTACAAGATTAGGAATATCACTATCCTCCCACTAGTTCTTAGTAAACACATATGTTCTTTTTCATTTTGATATAAAAGCATACCTTGTATCTTTATATTAAAATGACTATTCCAATCTTGAGATATTTTCTTTATATCCATAGGTGGATCTTAAGCCTTGTACATTTGGTTAGGATAACATGGATTAAGAAAAGCTCCAGGCTAAGCTATATAGATATCTTATAGTAGATGTCTATTAAGAAAAGCGGTTTTTCTTGAAATCTATTTGCTATATCTCATATTAAGAATATGAAGTTATAGTAAATAATATCCTTGTAGATCTAATCATAGCTACTTGTGAAAAGGTTTGATCATAGTCAGTATCATGAGTATGATAAGGACCATAGTCAATGACGTGATTATGAGAAAATCCTTATATAATTAGTATTATCGAATGTGTATATACATCCATGTATATATTCTTTCTAGAAGACTCTATTACTCATTCTAGCCTTGCTATAGAGAGGAAGATTAATCAAGCCCATACTTGATTATTAAACATGGATTACATCTCAATGTTCATGACTCTAAGTCATTTGTCAAATTCAAGATCTGATATAATATTTTGGTAGTTGATGGTTTAACTAGAAGCCATCAAGAACTCATCAATGAGAGATTCCACAATTCTCAAGTCATAGATGATTTCTACCATTATTGTGAACAATTTGTGTTTATGAATAGCTATTATTCATGTTTAACATTTTCTAGTGCCAACAATTGTTACATCAGGCTATGGTTCTTGAACTACTTCAACTTCCATGTGCCTGCCACTTGCTTTGTCATTAGAAGCTTGCTTTCTGCTAACTCAGCTTTCAGAGGAATAAAGGAACTTATTATTGGTGGGTTTGTATATAATAATCTAAATGCCATTTTAGAATATTCTACAATTATGTAATTAGTTGGAGTTTGTATTCTAGATACAATTAATAGTGATTGAAGTATAATCCCAAAAAAGTTAAAAGGATGACATTTCTACTGATTAGAAAGTAAACTATATCAAGTAAAGTTTAATTTACCCTTTATCATCATGAAGGCTTTAGATGGTACTAGTGGGTTGTATCTTGTGCTTAATCATAGGCATTCATTTGAAAGGAAATCATACACCAAAGTGTATAGTTCCTTAATAATTATTTTCTCTACACTTTAGTGAAAATATTATTAGGAATCTTTTATATATAAATAAGATTCACATATGTCAAATAATCTACATTATTTGCCTTCAAAGATCCCTTTTTTGAAGTTGGAATATGTGGATTTCATTTATACAATAAAGATAACAATGTCATGGATAAGTTTGATTTAAAACAAGTTTAAGTCAAAAGTGCTTGCTTATAGAACTTAATTTTATTTATAGAATGTTGATATTTACTTTGTAATTCTATTAAGAGATCTGGTCTCAGAATAGAATTCAATCATTTAAATAAATAACTGATACATAAATATTTAGACATGCTAAATTTAAAACATGCATTCTTCCAAAACAAATATTGTTTTATATTGCAAGCAATTTATGTTCTAAGCATAAATTATAAACTAAACTTCGAGAGTGTAGTTCCAACTTGCTTGTGCTCAGCTAGTTACTCTTCTGTAAATATTTGCAATCAAGTTACAAATATTAGATTCACATTTAAGTACCAAGTACTTGAGTGTTACACAAAAAGTATAAGTTTTATCCCGCAGATACATGAAGTACTAGTCTCTTCCAGACTTTCTTTCTAGATAAGAGGAGCAGTTCCTCTACCAGTGTCCAGTTTCTTCACAAAAGAAACAAGATCCATCTATGTGGTCCTTATTGAATTTCTTGGGCTTAAAGGTGTTTAGTCCATAAAACATGGGCCTTTTAGATCACACAATGTGACCCTTTTAGCCTTACATTATTCCATTGTTTAAACTAGCTTTAAATAAAATATCACTGTATTTATTGGAATATTGCTTGACCTGTTATATCATCAGATATATGCTTAAATTATCCAAGACTTCCTAGAAGTCATGAATAACTATTCCTAGCTTGATGTTAGAAGCATCTTAAGCATCACAGTGATGCCTTTACCAGGTAACATATTTAGGTCTATTACTCAAAGTAATTTGTTTAGGATTAGGACCTTCAAGTGTATACAATTTCATATCTCTCACGAGATTGTCTCTTAAGACATGAACTCATTCATTGAAGTTGTATCTATTGAATGTTATTGTTTCACTAAGTCATTTAAAGAGAAATGACATTTCATGGTTATGAGAGTGGATTATAAATCTACAAAAATTTTAACAAAATTCATTTAGTATTTTCAATATTTAATCTTTAATAATTAATACCCTTTTAGTTTATAAAAACATTAATTATCAAAGTCTAGGATCCAAGTTGCAAAACAGATAAATGGTTAGGTATCCTTTATTCCATCCATCCGAATTCAACCCGGTAGATATCGGTTATCAATTATATCTTACCATATAATTCCGAAATTTATGGGATCGATAACAAATTTAATTAGACATGTTTGATCCCATCTATGCCTCAGAACTCTCTTGCTTAGGTATCCTTTATCACAAGAGATTTCCGATCAAATCATCCAATTTGAAAAACTTGTGTAATCGGCCTATAACTTGGTTATAGAAATCGCGAAGACACCTCGGCCATCAAAAGATAACACTAAGTGGTTAGGTATCATTTATCCCACTAGTGCATACAAGAGACGTGCGAGTGTTCTTTAAAAAAGGATTGCATAGATTTGAGGTTTGTAAGGGGTCTTTGATGTTTTTATAATTCTAGTTTAAAAAACATGTTATATCATGGTTATTGCATGCATTCAATAAACCATGGTATTGTAAACATTAACATTTTCCAAATGTTATTACACTGTAGGTAAGAGCACATCAACCTACAGTGTTATTACATTGTGCTTCAAAGAGTCAAACGCTGCTTCATACAGTTCACGATCTCAAACCAATTACCACCATCGTCATACCGCAGCTTCTACCTCTACCTACACACCACTTGCTCGATCCGTTCTCTGCACGAGTAGCTCAATCTCTTCTCTCAATTTCTACGTCTCAAGCCAATTACCACCATCGTCACATCTACCTCCACCTGCGCGCCACTTGCTGGAACTGTTCTCTGCACTGGTTGCTCTATCTCTTCTCTCTATTTCTATGACCTCATAGCTGTCAGCCACACCTCACCCATCATAAGGTATTTTCTTCTTTGACATCTTTTGAGCATCTTCAAAGATTTTTTGGGTCATTTTCCTTTCCTTCTATGTTCCCATGTCAGAATTTTGTGCTCATATGACAGAAAAAAAAACATGGGAATAAATTAGGGCTAAAGTTTCCATGCTATTCTATTGAGTCTGTATCAGAATTCTATGTTCGTATGATAGAAAACCATGAGCAGAAATTAGGGCTAAAGTTCCCATGGTATTATGTTGATTCTATAAATTAGGGCTTAAGTAAAAGTAGACCAGCAATAAACAAATTTAGTAAAAAAAAACTATTGTGGCCTTCAATCACCATAATCTGTTTATCTTCACAGTTCCATTCTTGCAATTGACTTTCGGCTTCAGGGGTCATAAGAGAAGCAAGCAGGACAGTGGTCTGAATGGAGCTCCCAAGACAGCAAGACAAAGGTAAAAATTCCTCATTTTAGTTTATTCTTCACAGATTCATTAATCTCAGTTCCCGATTATTAATTAAATGCCTTAATTTCTCTTTCTCCCTGAATAACATATTGAAAGTGTACTTATATAATCCATTTTTACTTTAATAAACAAAAATACCAATTTTGTTTCTTTGCTTGCTGCCATAATGCATTTTTCCTTTGGTAAACAAAAAAATATTAGCATCAAAGTTTGAACAATTGTTAAATTTGATTTTTATTATGTTACACGTAAATGATTTAATGCCCATGTCTACATTCTTAGCCATTAAATGATTGTTTCAGGTTCCTTATATTATTATCTGTTGCTTTAGTTCTATTTCCTACCTTTGGATTTCAAAAAGGTACCCTCTAAGCCGTGTTATGTATAATGTGTTGTTTTCATCGCTTATTTAGCTTGGCCTTTTTTCTTTACTAACTGATTTGTTTTTGCTATATCTTGATGCCTCTATCTTATATTGTTATGATTTTCCATTATATTAAAAGCCAACTTATTTCTTTCACTGATTCGTTTCACAACAATATGCAACGAAAAAAGAAAAAGCTTAATCATAATGATGAACATCCACTTGAAAATTATGTTTCTTCTCCACAATCCAGCCCACATGCTTTTTCTGATAGCCCATCGAGTTCTAAATCTACAAAAAAATCGTGTGTCAAAAAGGCTTATACGTATAGGTACTTATAAAGAAAACTTTTAAAAGCTTAAACCGATTTTTTAATGCTTATTTCTGGAACTGCAAGAAATTTTAAACCAACTTTTAAACACTATCCAGGTAACATGATTTTATAGCCCAAAGTTTAAAAGTATGTTGTCAATTGTTGCTTATTTTTTAAAATTTAGTTTAAAATTTCTTGCATTTTTCTGCATTTATATTTTAACTGAATTATACAAATAATCTGAAACAAAGTTACATAAATAGTTCATGTGTAGTAGTAAAGTTACGGAAAGGTTCCATCTAATAGTTAACTTTTAGTCATTAATTATTCAACATCATTTATGTATAAAAGAGTACCTGTAATAATAAACTTGCAGAAAGGATCCCTGTAATAGAAAAAATTCCAATCTTTTATGGGAAAAAAATTAATTGTTGATTTTTCATTTTAATTTGAACTTCACAGATTCTACAAAAATGGATACAAGTATGGTAGCAAACTTAAACCCTGGTGATGGAGACAAGCCAATAGAAATAAAAGTCATTAGGAAATGGTTATCATATGGGAAAAAAGCTGAATGTTGCTACATATTCCTTGATAAAAGTGTGAGTGCATTCACCATAATATTACATGCAATTGTCAATTATAATCAATTCTATGTTAGATACTTATACATATACATATAAAACCATTCATTTTTGGCAGGGAGATGCAATAGAAGCATGTGGTTGCCTGGGAGATAAAGGCTACTTTGATTCGATAATCAAGATGGATGGTTGTTACTCTGTAAGCAACTATGTGTGTGACAATGCAAATACTTTCTTTGTTACTGTCCCACACAAAACCAAAATCAAGCTAGCCAGGGCAGCAAAATTTGAAGAAATACGTGATGATGGATTTCCTGTGTACTACTTCAATTTTCTTGCATATGGTCAATTAGGTGCAAGGCTTGATAACCATAAGACACTCACAAGTATGTAATACTTATATATATATATATATATATATATATATATATATATATATAGTATATATATATATATATATATCTTTTAAAATCACAAAATTGTTATATTTGTGTTAAGATTATATCGGAAGAGTTGAAAATGTGTATGAAGTAGTCAGAACTCAAGGAAATGCAATTTTGAAACTCAAACTAGAAAATTTGAGGTATTTTCTATCTCATATATCTAACAAAGACCAAGCATATCATATTTAATATCTGAAATATGTATGTTTAGTGGAACAATGATTGAGACAACTTTCTGGGATGAGGCGGCTAACTCATTTGATAAAGAAGCTATCGAAGCATTACCTTCTCCTGTTATTGTTGCTATTACTTCAATGAAAGTCACACAGTATCTAGGTACATTTTTCTCATTTTATTGTATTGAAGCATTTTGCTTTCAAAGTACAATGCTTAATAAAGAAAAACACTTACTTAAAAAGAAAGAGAAATAAAGTTTAAAGTATTATGCTATATTAGAAAATCAGATTAAAGTACATTCCTATTTCTTGCATTTAGCAACATTTATAGAAACTGCCCCAACCTTATCATTTTTGCTTATTTTTCTTTTATTTTGTAATTAACAGCATTGTTATGTTGGTTTCTTTAATAGGAAATTTGCAACTGACAGCAACTCCAGCCTCATATATTTACATCAACCCCACTATTCCCGAGGCTGCTGCAATGGCTGCTGAGTAAGTTCTTTATTCATATTTATATAACTTTGTGACATATCTTACAGTTCATTTTCTCTTTTAGGTTTGTCGAACGACATAATCAAAACCCTGTACTCAAGATACAATACCAAAAAAGTAAAGATGTAGAAGTCGAAAAGAAAAGAAACAGGTTTCCATTGGTAGACTTGCTATCTCAAAACCCAAACCGTTATGCAGTAAGCCATCAAACCTTCTCTTATCTTAAAATATATATACAAATTTTATAGTTTTAAATTTAATATAGATAATATTACAGGGAGCTCAGTTCACTTGCAAAGCATCTCTAGTTAGCATAGATGCAAGCAAGGGTTGGTTTTATAAAGCATGTCATGAATGTCGTAAAAAACTTCAAAAAAAAGGAAACACACTTGCATGCGAAGATCATGATCAAGTTGCTAAACCAAACGATTTGTAAGTACTATGTTTTTTATGTCAACTACTTGAGTATATAATCATCTTAACATACATATGTCTAATAATCGTATCAATAGGTTTTTTATCACAGCACACATCGCAGATGAGACCGCTCAAGCAAAGATAGTATTTTTTGATGCTGCAGCTAGAATGTTGTTCCAAACAGATTGCAACACACTCATTGATCATCATGGATACACTGATCCGTACACATTGCCTGCACCACTCACCATTCTCATAGGCCAGCCAAAAATAATTCAATTCCGATTCGCAAGATTATGTAGGCCGGGTGCTAAAGACTTTGTAGCAGATGCTGTTTTTTAAGATATAGTTTCTCCAGAAAAAGAAAGTCACACAGAAACAGACATTATCAACCAACCAACTGCCTCAGCATCATAAAAAAAAACACCCACTACATCAACTGATCCTCCATCTACTGCTTCTGTTACTCCAGCAAAAGCCTTTCAAGAGCGTCTCACAACATCACCCATCACACCCGCTTCCGCTGAAACTAAACATCACCAAATGAAATCTGTCCAGAAACAACTTTTCCAAACATCATCTGAAGGTACATAAATCTTACTAATCGTTTCTTCTAGAATCTATTTTAGGAATATATATATATATATATATATATATATATATATATATATATACATATAACATTTTTTTATTATTTGGAAAATAATATTGAAGGTTTTTGCAGATTCTCTTGACCAAACAGATGGTAAGTCGGTTAAGAAGCAAAAAAAATGTGTTGATGCAGCAAACGTGAACAACAAAACCCGTGTTGGTTCACGAGGAAAAGACAAGTAGTTGTGCTCCATGTCATGCAGTTCAGTAAGGTATATCTGTAATATCATGGATTGTCTATCAATTATTTAGTATTTCCTATATTCAATATTTATTTATGCTTTTTGAACAATGTCACAGGAAATATGATTAACTTTTGAGGCTCTGCCATATTTTCTACAAAAACTTTGGAGAGCTGGCGTGCTATGTAAAAACGTTTGGGACAGTTGTCGCTGCGATATTTTGTTACATCATGGGTTGTTACTACCGTGTATTTTGTTGAAACCTTTTGAAGAACTGCTACTTTTGCCCCTTTTGAAGAACTGCTACTGTTGCCATTACTTAAAATATGTTGAATATCAATGTCCCTTCTAAATATGTCTACAACTATGTAAAGTTGTTTATGTAAATATGTTTATTCAGCTTTTATTTATATTATAAGTGTTATATCTTTTTGCTTAACCATTTAACAAATTTAACATACCAAAATACATAATTGATACACTTTTCATCAAAAAATTTAAATAAATTTTATTAAACAATGTGAAGCTTAAACTTCATTGCTTAAAGTACCGCCGCAACGCGCGGCCATAAAACCTCGTACTTTAAAAAATCTTATTTCATGTAAAATCTCATTTTTTAACAATGATCTACATATAAAACTCGGTTTTATATTATTAACGCGATCAAAGTTTTAAATTAATAACTAGTATTAAGTTATATCGTTTGAGCGCTTTAGAACATTTGGAAACCTTTTAATAAAACTTCATTTTATAAAATAAGGTTTGAAGTTTGATAAGTTTACAAATCTCTATTTTAAACTTATACAATTTTAATCCCGAAATTTTACCGGTTAGTAGTTTTAACGATAATGCTTGTTTTATTATAAAACTATTTTAGCATCTTATGTTAAAAGGTAAATTTCATTAAAACCAAACTCTTTGTGATGTTTATTTATGTTCAAATATTATTTTGCATTTGAAAAACTAATTTATCAACCATAACATAATAATAATAACATAAACATAAAACATCACAAGCATGCATAACAATTATAATATATGTGCATAAACCAAACCATTAACTAGTAATAATTTTGTGAGCCATCACAAAATTGTCAAGCCCATTCCTAAAGGGACATAAAGGACCTATATCTTGTAAAGCTTCATGTGCTCCCACTTGCTTCAACACCTTGTAGCAAGTTTATAAAAATAATTTTATAAAGTTTGAGAAACTTTAATAAAATCAAGTTTATAAACTTTTGATCTTCAAAATGGCCACCATCTTCATTCTTGTTACATTTTTTATAAAAACAAACTATTCCTAAAACTAATCTATTACTTACAAAAATTAACAAAAGAAAAACTACCTATTTAATTATTACATACCATATGAATAAATAAATAGTTACAACCATTTTAAATAAATCAACACATGCAACAACACAAAGGTCCATGACTAGTTTATGCACATCATACATATTTATATACTCAAAAATATATAAACAACTCTTTGTTTTTCTAAGACAACTTTTATGACCAAAAAATATGCATGTAAACTTTTGGTCAAAAAATAACATTTAGAAACATTTTAAAGTTGTCAAAGAAAATATGTATGAATTTTTCTTGCAAAGAGAAAACCATCAATGTTTTCCAAAAACAAAGATTTCATCAACTAAACAAATAATCTAAATAATCTTGCAAAAATGGCTCTGATACCAATTGTTGGTTTTTTTATTCAAAAATCCGGTTTCACAACCGATAAAATTGACAACGGAAGCTTTAAAAATGTTGAATAAAACTAAAACTATTTTACCCACCAAGGATCATTTTGCAAGAGTTAGGAAGATTAAAACAACCATAAAAGGGAAAGCATAACAACCTTTGAAGACTTTGATCCTCATGGGAGGTTGGAAGTTGATGAAGTGTGGCATGAAACTCTAAAGCAAGAGTTCTCTACAAGTATCCACCAAGCAAGAGTAGAACCATCAAAACATGCTAGTATTCACTTGTAATTTGTTGTTCATAAGCCTTTGAAATATATACCAAATATATGTTCGAAGGTGAAGCAACAAAAGGGACATTCTTTTAACATCAAATGCAAGAGAATGGAGGAGAAGAAGGATGCCTTAACTTCGAAATTTGGCAGCCTCTTGGGAGCACTTTTGCTCTCGGTTTTTTTGCTAGCCAAAGAAGAGGAAGAATGAAGGCTTTCAATCATTCCTTCTAACCTTCCATGCCCTCCCTTATATAGAGGCCAAAAAAGCAAAGGGAGACCATAAAGTAAAAGATGGACAACTTTGTCCCAAGCATGGCAAAAGAAGACCATGCTTGGTCTCCTTACAATTTTCGAAAAATGCATGTCCAAAAGAAGACAAAAGTTGTCTCATGGCTAGTTTTTATACACATACATGTTATCTTTATAAAAATCAAGTATTTTTATAAGGAATTCCCAATATATATATATATATATATATATATATATATATATATATATATATATATATATATATATAACTAGTCATATATAAATATCTTATTTTATATAAAACTATCTTTTATATAAATTGTAACTAGCTTATTAAGATATAAATATGAATATATAAATATCTTATTTTATATAAAACTATCTTTTATATAAATTGAACTAGTTTATAAATATAACTTATAAATAATCATACTTTATGATATATTTCATAAGTTGTTATTTCTCCAATAAATATTATTTCCATAAATAATAAATTCTCAATTAGTAAAATATTATTTCCATGAAATAATAATTTTTCAATTAAATACAAGTGTTAATATATTTATTAATAATCAAATTATACTAATAAATAATCAATTGACGGTAACTTGCTATATGGTGTGACCCTATAGGATCATATATTATTAGCAATATCATTCTATAATGACTCTTGGGCATACTAGATCTTTCAAATAGTCCAAATATTACCCAAATCGTAAAGGCAACAAAAGTTAATGGTAGTTGAGTACGCCCGGCGTACTCAGACTTACGCCCAACGTACACCCTCTTTGGCCAGTAAGCACAACGTACGAGCTGGGTATGCCCAGCATACTCCGCAGCCAACCCCAAATTACCATTAAGTGCTTAATCGATTAAGCTAGTATGTCCAATTCTCATATATGATCCTAAATGATGTCTTAACACATGAATTTGGCAACTTTACTCCTTTGCATGACTTAATGGGACCAAAAACCCGTTTTTATCCATCTAAACCAATAATATGAACATCAAATTAAGCATGATTCATCAAAACCCATCAAGATGATATTTTTTTGGTTCCTAATAACTCCATAATAGATAAAGTTTCCAACTTTATCCATTAGAATGGTCCAACCAACCAAGATCTAGTCTTTAAGTCTCAAAGGGACCAAAAATGAATCTTTTCCAACTTAATCCATTAAGTCCAAGTCTCAAGCTTTTAGATCTGAATCTATATGATGTTTAGATGGATAAAGTTTCCAACTTTATCTATAACAAGGTCACAAACTTTCAAGATCTAAACTTTATGCACTAAAGTGACCAAAAGCTCATAACGCCCAAAACTAGCTAGATCTATCTTTTATCATCAATATTCAAACTTTATACCTCCAGAAGAAAGATTAAGGTGAACAAGGTTTGGATCTATAAGCTCCAATGCAACCAACGCTTCTTCAAATAGTTCTTTCTTCTCCAATGTGCACCAAGAACACTCCAAAGCACTTAAAAACATCTTCTTTTGCTCACAAGGTTCAAACTAGGGTTAGGGTTTCAAGGGAGGGTGTTGGGGAGGTGGAGGCTGAGAATGGAATGGGTTTGGGGAAGTTAAGGAGGTTAAGTAGGGCTCAAACCATGAAAATAGGGTTTGGGCACTGATAGCATACGCCCAGCGTACTCAATTTACGCCTAGTGTACTAGGGATGCCCTGGTACGTCCAACATTCTAGGGATGCCCTAGTACATCCAGCGTACTAGGGATTCCCTAGTACGCCCAGTATACGCGGTTGATCCAAAAAAATCGTCCAAACTTCAAACGGTCATAACTTCTTCGTTTCAACTCTGATTCCAACGATCCTTATATCCACGGAAAGGTTATCAAAAAGCTCTACAACCCTATAAACTGTCTTTTTCCTTAAAACTTTCTGAAATTAAATACAAAATTCATAAAAGGCATGAACTATCACTTTACGGCTATACCCTTGGGCTCCAAACCACCATCTGAACTCTCAGATCACCTAATCTACATTACCCACATCCAAAGGGGTCTAAATCTCTCTTCCCCTCCCCCCCAAGGCCTGAAGCCTTATGATAACTGGTCTTTAGGTCACATCCTCGAATTACGAAACGATTTGAAACAAGGTGTTACAACTCTCCCCCACTTAAATTAGATTTCGTCCTCGAAATCACTCCTTGCTAATCTCCAGGAAATCAAACGATCCGACTAACCCTTCTAGATCCCTGATGAAATTCGACCCCAACATATGATGACCTTCCAATAATCGAACCCATTCTTAGTAGAACTCGTATACT